CGGCCCGGCTCGGCTGTTGGGAGCTGGGCTGGGCTTGGCTGTGCTGAGCTGGGCTGCGCTGGGTCGGTGTCGGCGGCGCCTTAGCCGAGACCACCACCCAGCGGTGCGCGCTGGGACTGCGCCCGCCGCCGCCCGCTGCCCGCGCTGCCGCTCGCCCCGGCCCACGGACACGCGCGCACACGCGCGGGGCCGCCGCTCGCCCCCGGGTGAGCCCGGGGCAGGACGAGCGCACATCAAAGCGCGGATGGAAGTGCCGGCAAGCATTTCGGTGAGCCCTGGGGATATTCCGATTGACTCCGAGAGCACGGACAGCTCCGGAACCTGCCCCGCCTCTCCGCGCTCTCCGATGCTCACAAGTCCTCGGGAAACCGTGAGCTCTTGTCTCCTGCTTGAGGTAGAAGCTGAGCCCAGAGGGACTGAGCTGCCTTCCCCGAACAGAAAAAACGGCCTAGAACCTACGCAGTGGCTGCACAGTTGTAACAGCACGGGCACGGCACTGAACACTCTATCGGCAGCGTCTCCAAGATCTACACACATATGCACTCACCCAACATTATCTCAATTAACGAACAAAACGAGAGAAAACCTCCCAGACTTTTGAAAAATCTTTTCCGAATGAACGATTCTACAAAAGATTCTTCCAAGCAAGGAATTAAGCAGCTCTCTTTATTTCACACTTACACTTTTTTTCAGTTTTTACACTCGGGAGTATCCCAGCTTAGAATGTTGCAGTTTAAAACTTCAGCACAACACAGACTGTCTGAGGCTTTCTGAATATTCCGTGCATCACAGACATTATAAAAGGTAGCAGTTACAATAGGTGGGGTGACAGTCCTTCTTAAAAGGAATAAGCCAAAAAATGCTCAAGTCCAGTTCCAGGAGTAGAAGGGTAAAGGGCAAAAAAGGAGAATGCAAATGCACTAACACAAACCCAGAAGGTTATGCTGGGACAGCTTCCCAGTTCAATTCTACTGAATTCAGCAACAACCATGAGAAGACTAAACTAAAAGTCCTTTTCACAAGCTCACCTTAGTTGTACTTTCAGAAAATGCTCTTTGAAGGACATTTGGAGTTTTCATGCAATACACCTAAAGACAATAAACATGTTTTCACACCTCTGTACAGTTACAGGCTACCCCAACACTGTTTGTGCCGGTCTACTGCAAGGAGATACAACACCCAATCTCCTCTTATCGCTAAAGTATAGATTTAATTGTGCATTTTGCTGCTCTTCTCTGACACCAAGAAGAGGAGTTCTCTGTACTCAAACGGTTAAAATACCCTTCTTGCCTGTTGAGCTGGAATTGCCTGCTGGCAATGGCTGAATGGCAGGAATTCCCTGATTCATAGGGCAACAGCAGTGAAGATTGGGAAACACACAGTGGCTGTAATGAGTGACATAGTGACAAGAAATCAAAACCCACAGATTCCATATATGTCAGACAGACACATTCCGAACCCAGGAAAGAAAGAGCTTGGTGCTCACATGGCATTGTGGCACAACACTCACAATTTCCTTCCTTTCCTGAGCTGGGAAAAGTTCATTATGAGTTTCAGAAAAGAAATTTCTGTCTCATTTTCTGAGCCATACTCTTACAGATCAGGTCCATATTAAAGTCCACTGTTATGTCTGACTGCAAAAGAGACAAGAGCTCAGGTGGGAGAGCTAACTGCATTCTTTAAACCTCTCAGGAATGACATTAACAGACCTGAAATATATGAATGTCTGAGTGATAGACTTCCCTTTATTCTGTTTGCTTCTTGATTTTAGTGGAACACGAACATTCCCTGACTTACAATTTCTGGAAAAAAAGTCATGCCAATTGCAAATACAGCTTTATTTTGGAGGAACAATTTGTAAAGGCTGCAGCCTGCATTCCTTCTGACAACGAGGCACGAAGCCTCTGGCTATGCTGACCCTGTGCTAGTTAAAGGAAAGACGATTGAACTGTTCTGCAGACACAGGCCCAGCATTGTCTGGGGTCACGTCCTCTGTGGGGACAGGGACACAAGGGAAAACCTGTTCCTCACCGGTGTCCACGCCCATGACACAGGGCTGCGGTGGCAGGCTGGGGACGAAGGGCTTGAGGAACCTGAACTCGCTGTTGCCCGAGCCCGTGGTGAGGCTGATCTCGTAGCAGTAGGGGCGGGGCAGGGTCCCCGCAGCAGCTGCATCGGCCAGGCCGCTCGGCAGGTTGTCGGCCCCGGAAAGCACGTGGCCAGCCTTCAGCTGCTTTCTCTGGCACAGCCTGCGAGCCACGAAGGCTGCAG